TGCTGTGAGGGCTTTCTCTAGTTGCAGTGAGCAGGGGCTACGCTCTAATTTCGGTGCTGGGGCTTTTCATTGCCATGGTTTTTCTTTTTGCAGAACACAGGTTCTGGGGCACTGTGGGCTTCCAGTAGTTGCGATTCTAGAGTACAGGCTCAGTAGTTGTGTTGCACAGGCTTAGTTTCCCTGAAGGATGTGGGATCTTCCTGGATTAGGGATCAAACCCATGTCTCCTGCAGTGGCAGGTGGATTCTTTACCACTAGGCCCAGGCCTTTTTTTTTTTTTTTTTTTTTTAGTATCTATTTGTTTGGCTGCACCAGGTCTTGTTGTAGCCTGTGGGATCTAGCTCCCTGACTAGGAATTGAACCTGGCCCCCTGCATTGGGAGCATGGAGTCTTAGCCAGTGGACCACAGAGAAGTCCCAGGAAAGGCCTATTTTTAAGCAGCAGACCAGCTGTCACTCAAAGGAGAGTCCTCCTGCACCTCTCTCTGACACTTTTAACGGCACCTCCCATTAAGGAAGCATTTCCTTGCAGTTCAGCATTTTCAAAATCTCCCTTTTTGGTTCCCAGGACCCGGGAGCCATAAAGGTGGCGGGTGGAAACGTCTCTGAACTGGGCACTTCCTGACTTGAGACATCCATCCTTGACCTCACAAACCCAAAGTCCATTCACCGCCTGTGGACTGGACACAGAACCAGGCTCTGGGGCTCCGGGTGGGCATCTCTTGGGAGACTACGAGGTGACCCTGGCCGTGCATGTTCAAATCGGCCACCAGGTGGTTGCTCGTCCTGGAGATGTGGATGTGGGCACATGGCCTTGTCCAGTTCCTTGTCCTGCTCCCGTAAATAGCACCAGCTCCACTTCCTGATTCCTGAGCCACACTCTGTGCGGATGGAGCCGGATACAGACCCTACAGCCCCCCACTCCCCACCCTGGGCAAAAGGACTGAGGTTGGAAAGGCCTTCTGGGTCCTGGTAGTGACCAACCAGAATCTGTGGGACATATGTTTTTCCTGGCATAATGTCCACATCCGTCTCTGGAGCCTTGTGCTCAGCCAATGGGACTCTAAGGAGCGTCTGGCCCAGACCCCTCTTCTTCCATCTGGGGAAGCTGAGGCCCAGGGGAAGGGAGCCATTTGCTCGAAGTGAGGCTGCTATGCAGGTGAAGGTGAGGGGCCGGGTCTGGGGTCTCCGAGGCAGGTCCAGTGAAGGAGACCAGGTCTCTGCAGGCCGGCAGGTGGGACGATTCCATCCCGACCCACCAGGAGTCTGTGGGATCCTTGACCCGAACAGATGGAACATCATTTAGTTAATCCTCCTTCCTCCAGGAAAGGCCCCATTTCAAAGCTTTCCATGAAAAACATCTACCACTTCCATCCTGTCTCTTGGGCTTCCCTGGTAGCTCAGACAGTAAAGAATCTGCCTACAATGTGGGAGACCTGGGTTCACTTCCTGGGTTGGGAAGATCCCCCGGAGGAGGGCGTGGCTACCCACTCCAGTATTCTTGCCTGGAGAATTCCATGATGGAGGAGCCTGGCAGGGTGGCTGCATGGGGTCTCAAAGAGTCAGACATGACTGAGCAACTGACACTACTACGACTGTCCTGTCTCCTGGGACTGCCCAGGGGAGATAAAGAGCCATTGTTTGTCTTCTTTTAAAGCCTGGAACATAAATGCCCTGTCAAGCCTAAGATGTATTCTTTTTTTTAAATAACAGCTTTACTGTGATATAATTCACACGCCATGCAATTCACCCATTAAATTGCAGCGTGCGGTGACCTCTAGCTTACTAATAGCTGTGTAGCCACTGGTGTGGTTCATCTTAGAACACTTTCATCATCACCAAAGGGAACCCCTACTCAGTCATTCCGTTTCCCCAAAAACCACCAGCCTTAGGATTTGGTCTTCAATTGCTGGATTTTTATTTATTTATTTATATTTTTTGGCCACACAGCGCAAGGTTTGCTGGATCTTAGTTCCCTGACCAGGGATTGATCCCAAGCCATCGGCAGCATAAGCACCAAGTCTTAACCACTAGTATGTGATGTATATGAAAGTCACTCAGTCATGTCCGACTCTTTGCGACCTCATGGATTATACGGTCCATGGAATTCTTCAGGCCAGCATACTGGAGTGGGTAGCCTTTCCCTTCTCCAGGGGATCTTCCCAACCTAGGGATCAAACCCAGGTCTCCCGCATTGCAGGCGGATTCTTTACCAGCTGAGCCACAAGGGAAGCCCAAGAATACTGGAGTGGGTAGCCTATCCCTTCTCTAGTGGATCTTCCTGACCCAGGAATTGAATTGGACCACCAGGGAATTCCCAATGGCTGAATTTTTTAATATTCTATTTAATATTCTGAGACACACTGGTGAATATTAAAGAACTTTCATCCACTTTTTAATTGGTGGAATGGGATTTCAAGGAAAATGCTGGGGGTCTTCTCAGTTTTTTGGTTTGACCTTTTATTTTGTTCACAAGGAAGTTTGAGGAGACGGTGGACGAGGTCACAGATCCGCTCACTTCAGCTCCTTGTGTGTCCAGGACCCCGAGCAGGGAGGGCCCCCGAGCCGTTCATGTGCGCTCACCTGTACCTGGCTTCATGGATGAGAGCAAGGAGGAGTCAGCCAGGCATGGGGCGGGGGAGATGAGCAGAGCCCATAACAACTCAGCAGCCTCTGGGGCCTTGGAGGGCATTACTTTCTGGTTCCTTCTGGAGCAGAGGGTTTATCTGAGATGCAGGCTGTGTGGAGCCTCTCTTGCAGGAAGCTAGGTCTTAGGCCCTCCCAGGGACACAAGGGCAGAGGTGCCCTTGCAGGTTGCTGCCAGAAGCCCCCTGGGATCCAGGGTCCTGACGCAGCTCTACCATGAACTGGGCCCCGACTGCAGGGGTTTGGATCCCAGCCTATAATCCTGGCACTTCTGTCCCCTCTGCACCTGAGTGCCCTCAGCTGTAAAATGGAGAGGAGAACCATCCCTGTGAGCAGTTGGGTTAACACAGAATGATTCTCCTCCTGAAAGACCGAGTGGGGTCTGGGACTGGATATATGCGGGGGAGAGTCCATGATGAGGGCCTCTAATTCAGTGGCTTAGAGCTAACCCTGATCCTAACCCTTGCTCCTTTTCCTGCCAGTGGTGTGGCCCTGGGAAAGTTATTTGTACTCTATCCCTCAGTTTCGTCATCAGTAAAATGGGGATGATGATCATGGTATGTATCTCCCTGTGATTATTAAATCATTCGTTACAATCCACTCCAATGTTCTTGCCTGGAGAATCCCAGGGACAGGGGAGCCTGGTGGGCTGCCGTCTATGGGGTCACACAGAGTCAGACACGACTGCAGTGACTTAGCAGCAGCAGCAGCAACAACAGACCATCATGGGGATTAAATGAGGGCTTACAAGGGGGCCTGACCCAGTGAGTTTTCTGTGTTAGCAATTAATAACTGATTTAAAAGGTAAAATGAGACAGAAATCAAACCAATATTGTAAAGCAATAATCAATCAATTAAAAACAAATAATTTTTTTTAAAAAAAGGTAAAATGAGGGGAACCTTTGGTGGTCTGGAGGTTAGGACCCCAGGCTTTCACTACTGAGGGTCCAGGTTCCATCCCCGATTGGAGAACTAAGATCCCATAGGCCACGCTGCATTGCCAAAAAAAAACCTAAAAGGAGTTAATTTGTAGTCATCTGGGTATTAAAACTAGTATCGAGACTTCCATGGTGGTCCAGTGGCTAAGAGTCTGAGTTTCCAATGTACAGGGCCTGAGTTCGACCAACCAAGACCCTGTGCAGCCATATAAATAGATCAATAAATATTTTTTTAAAAAACATCTAATATCAGTCAGTGATGCTGTGGCTGCTGCTGTCAGTGTTTGCTCTCAGACCACCCGGAGCCGTACTAACAGGCGTCCTCTCTCTCCTATCCGCAGCGGAGCCCTTACCGCTCATGGATCTCTGCCGTCGCTCGGTGCGCCTGGCCCTGGGGAAGGGGCGCCTGGGTGAGATCCACGCGCTGCCACTGCCCGCCTCCCTCAAGGCCTACCTCCTCTACCAGTGATGCTCCGCCTGGGACCGCCAGCACAGCCACCCCCCGGTGCCAACTCACTGAGCCACCACAGCACCACGAGCCTTGGACCGGCGTCCGAGGCGTGGGAGGAAGTCCCGACTTCCTTTTCATCCTCTCTGGCTGCCCAGCCGGACACAGACGGCTTTGGATGCGGGCCCTTCTGCTCCCCTTCTGGACCTTGGCAGAAATCCCCCGCATGCCGTATCACAGCCCCTCCTTGGAAAAAACACAGAGGATAAACTGCTGCCCTGAGCTCTGATCTGCTCTTGGGGTGGCCTGGGTGCTCCCCACACCTGCCGGGACCCCCTGGTGCCGAGAACAGATCCCAGGGGTGCTAAGAGGTGCTTAGATGAGGGCCAGCGCCCGCCCAGCAGGGCAGCCACAGCGGACGAAGCTCAGGATGTCAGAAGCTCACCATGGCCACCGAGGCAGAAACCAAAATGGGACCTTCCCTAGGCGCATGAGCACCCAGCATCAGTCCTGGCTGCCGGTGCCTCCATACCCTGTATTTATTCTTTTAACAGTAACAAAAGCCATTTATTTATTCCATTTAGAAAGGACACTTTGTTCGGGTCACTTCTCTCTGGAGTGTTCTGTTGCTTTTCTTCCACCTGCCCCTTCCTGGGATGTGTGTGCCTCACCTGGCCCTTTCGCTGGGTCATGTTTGTGATGTGTCCCCATGCGGGCACAGGGGGACCTCTGTGTGGGTCCCTTGATCTACAGTTTCCAGGGGGCTCTGCTCCTGAGTGCCCGAGCAGGCCCCTGAAAGGGCACCTCACGTGCAATAATGAGTGTCTTGGGGACCTGTCTGCAAGGGCGGTGGCAGCTCCCTGCGTCCCCCCAAACAGCCACTTGTCACTCGGGCTTATCCATTTTTGCGCGTGGTTTTATTTTTTTAGTGTTCTGTGGGGTTTTTTGGTGTGGGTTTGGTTTCGTTTTCGCTTTCCTACCTGAGATTTGCCACGTGAATACTCAGAAGCTCTGGCTTCCCCTGTCGAGTACCTGCCAAAACAAGACAGGGGGATGAGTGGGTCTGAGAGGCCAGGGGCAGGGCAGGGTGGGGGAGACCAGAGCAGAGTTGGTGCCTGTCTCCGCTTGGTGCCCCTGTCCAGGCTCTGGGCTGAAGTGGAGCAACCTCAGTTCATCACAGTGCCCCAGAGCCATGGGGTGGGGCAGGGTGGGGTGGGGTGGGCAGCCTGCAGTGGGGGGGACACACCCTCCCTTGCACAACTCCCCCACGTAGCAGACCCCAGCACCTGCCACCAAGTCACCTTTTCTTATGTCTTGAAGTCCACCCTCTTAGAATCTGCCTTCTGTTCATTTCTGTACAGGTACAATAGATGACTTTATTTGTTTAAAATGTTTAATATATATGCATATATATTTGTCCGTAAAAATTATGTTTTAAACAGCTGCTGTAGGGTACCTTTTTTAAAAAAAAAAAAAAGTCTTCCAGTGGAGTATATTTTTTAAAGCACAAAATTGGTGCCAAGACTGGGTGAGGAATGTAAATTTCCCCTTGATCTTTGGAGGTTTGTTTTTCCCCCAGTGGGTGGGAGGAACCGAACCTGAGACGTTTAAAGACTGTCCTCACTCCTGTTTCAGGATGGGCCATGTTCTGATGAATGTTACACATGAGAGGGTCTCATTAGACAGATCCCAGCCTTATCACCTTGACCCAGTCGTCTCCCACAGACGCTGGACAAACCCCCAGACTCCTTGTCATCTCTCTGCACCCCCAACACCCCAGCTCCCCAAACCTCAGCCCCACCTGTCTTTCCTCTCAGCCCAGAGCCTTGTGGCCTGTACAGTTTTGAAACTCCTGTTCTATTTTATGATGGTTGATAATAGTCAGTAACCTAATAAAGGAAAGTTTATTAAAATACAAAGGCTCTTTGGAGTCCCTCTTTGAGCCCTGTGCTATGCTGTGCTTAGTCGCTTCAGTCGTGTCCGACCCTTTGTGACCCCATGGACTGTAGCCCACCAGGTTCCTCTGTCCGTGGGATTCTCCAGGTGAGAATACTGGAGTGGGTTGCCATGCCCTCCTCCAGGGGATCTTCCCTAAGGTGACTTTGAGTTTTAGGGGAAGGGGAAGGGCATGACGGACCCCTCCTGGGTCCATGGTTTTCAACAACAGATAATGGGGTGACTCCCCAGAGCCCTTGGTGGAGGGTGGAGTGCCATCAGGGGTCCCAGATGGAGGAGGAGAATCCTGGAGGGATGATCCTAGAACAACCTCATCCTTTTCAGAAGTTCATGAGGCCTGCAGCTCAGTTAGGGACTCGCTGAGCTGGTAGAAAGGATTCTGCACATCAGCAAGGACCCTTGGCTTATTGTTCAGTTGACTGTTGGCTTTTCAGAGTCCAAGCACTGGGCACTCAGCTAAAGGAGCTGGTCCTTCACCCATCTTTGCATCCCCAGTGCCAAGCGCACAGGAAGGCTGAATGAGCCCATTCTGCTAGCTGCTCCCCACTCCGAACCCCAGCGGAGAAGACAGGACGTTCTGGCTTAGAGGACTGGTGACTGATAAAGTGAAGAATCAAGAAGTTTACTAGATATGACCACACGTCATGACTAGTTTCCAAAGAATTAACAAGAGTGCATTCCACTCCCTGTGTGTGTGCATGTGTGCTCGCTCACTCAATCGTGTCTGACTCTTGGCGACCCCAAGGATTGTAGCCTGCCAGGCTCCTCCGTCCATGGGAATTCCCAGGCGAGAATACTGGAGTGGGTTGCCATTTCTCCTCCAGGGGATCTTCCCAACCCAGGGATCGAACTCGTGTCTCCTGCACTGGCAGGCGGATTCTTTACCACTGAGCCACCTGGGAAGCCCTCCGCTCCCTGTGGGCACTTTTCGTTCTAAAGGCACTTTGGGATCTGCTGGTGCTGGGCAAACTGCCCTGATCTGAGGGCCCAAGACCCCTGGGACCAAGGTCCCCTGTTACTTTCTCTGAGAACCTCCTGGCCAGCTTTCCTGAGACTACTTGCATCAGAACCAGCTGAGGGATGTTAGTTAAGATGTTCGTCTCTGGACCCTGCCTGAGATGGACAGAGTGGACATTTCCAGGACCAGGTCCAGGGATGCGTGACTCCCTCCAGCTCCCCAGGTGACCTTCTGTGAGAGTTTGGAGACCACTGGTGGTGACTTGGTCAACTCTATTCCTGGAAAAGTTGCAGGGTAAAGGGAAGTCCTTTCGGTGTGTGGCTGGGTTGGCCCAGCAAGAAGCACATGGCCTCCTGAGTCATACCTGGGTTCCAGTGTTTCTCTGACCCTCATGAGCTGTGTGATCCTGGTGAGCCTCTGCAAAGTTGCATCACCATGGTCCCCATCTCTGAGGAGGGTAGCAAGAGTGACAGAAGTCTAATTTTTTTTAAATATATTTTTAAAAAATTATTTATTTTTGTTTGCACTGAGTCCTCACTGCTGTGCATGGGCCTTCTCTAGCAGAGGTGATCGGGGTCTACTGTCTAGTTGCGGAGCATGGGCTGTAGGCACAGGGGCTTCAGTAGTTGTTTCACGTGGGCTCAATGGTTGTGGAGCATGGGCTTTGCTGCCCTACGGCATGTGGCATCTTCCCGGACCAGGAAGATGTGAACCTGTGTCCCTTGCACTGGCAGGCAGATTCCTAACCACTGTACCACCAGGGGAGTCCTGTGACATAAGGCTCTAGAACAGAGCCAGGCATATCAGCAAGTGTGCAAACACATGCTTTCATAGCTCTTGCACTTCTGGAAAATGACAGTTCCCAGGTTGGAATTGGTCTCCGAGAATGGACCAAACATTCCTCATCCAACTTCCTGAGAGATATACATTCTTCTCAGGTAAAGTCTCCGAAGATCAAGGTGGGTGTTGGGAGAAGGGACCCCTAGATGCCTTCCCCAGATGCGGTTGGAGGAAAGGGGTGGGCTGAACTTATTTTTAGGTTGGAGTTCATGTCTGGGTTGCCACTCCAACTTGCTTAGAAGGAGATGGCAGGAGGAGGAGAAGGGTCAGGGGGTGGAGAGGGGATGGGGGTGGGTGGCAGAAACAGAGGGAAAATAAGGGCCTTTGTGTTACCGGGAGACTTCTGGGGAGCAGGGTTTCGTGCTGAAGGGAGCGGTCTTAATAAAACCATGGTGCAGACTGGCCCATGTGGTTGTAATTAATACCCTGCCTTCAAGCAGGTAGCAGGCTCTCAGGCTTGGCCATAGATGGGAAGAGCCCCCTCCTCCCTCTACCGTCCATCTCCTGCACATGACTCCCCACCCGCCCTCAGTCCTGCTCCTCCTCGGCGGCGAGATGAGGAATGTGGATTTACTGAACCATAAAGTATGCTGGGGGAGCTGGGGAGGGGGCCGAAGACAGAGCAATTAGTTCATGCTCCAGTCCAGACACCCAAACATGGTTGGAGGCCAGCTGCAAGGAATATTTGAAATAAATGAGCTGCCTGGGGCCAGGAGTTTGCTGTGTTTTCTGTGCGGGGCCATGGCAACCAGGGAGGAAATCATGAGCTAGGGATTGGACTCTAGAATCAACAAATGATGTCCTGGCTGAACAAGACCGGAGGAAGCCACTCAGAGCTCTCCGAGGGCTTCTCGGGGTTCAGCTGCCGACGGGCAGGACTGCTCGAGTGCACTTCTGGTGGACGCGGTGGATTCCTGTCCCAGCTTCAGCCCTCTCTGCCATCCATGGGGTTCTGCTCTGACTTTTTCTTTCTTTCTTTCAAGAAAAGAGAAAGCTGACACCTCCCTGGAACCTTTATTCCTAGGCTGGAGAACAGCTGCTGGTCTGATAATGCTATTCCTGGGCAGAAGGGCTGTTCCCACTGGGAAAGCCTAGGCCAAGGGCAGCTGGCTGCATGGAAGGTGGCATTGGCCTTGCTCTGGGGTCTGTCTTCCCACCCAGCTCTGCAGCAGCCTCCCCTGTAACTACTTTGTAGGTACAAAAGGCAAAGGCCCCATGAATCCCTTCCCTGACTCTTCTGAGGGTGGACCTCACAGCCATCCCTAAGAATGTGTCTTATAGAAGCACAGGAATAACAGAACCTAGTCTGGGGCCCTTAACTTGAAGTTCAAATACCTCCTGCATCTGAGTCATCTGGTAACCTCAAGGAAAAAGCAACATCTCAGAAAATGTTGATGCCACAGGTGGGATCTGGGAATCTGCCTCTTGAAACACCTGTAGCTGATTGGGAGACATTATCCTCTGAGACCCATGCAGATCCCTCTCTGGTCCTCTTTACTCGCAAGGAGCTGTGATCCAGAGGAGCTTGGTGAGCACTGGAGTGGAAGCTTCCATGGGAATCAGCTCCACCCACTCTGAAGTGCAAGCAACAGCCCCGAGAGCTGGGGATGCGAAGCCAGCATCCTGCTAGGGCACAGAAGCGCTTCTCTTGGAGGAGTGAACAGGATGGGTGCAAGGGGAAACCTCAGGCCTGAACTTTGGCTTTGCCTGGGAAACCAGCCCTGTGGAAGCCTAAGCAGGAGCTGACAGGCGCCATGACCCAAGCACCTCCCATCAGGGCCAGTCACTCCACAGATGCTCTCGGCTACTTCCCACGACCTCGGTACTCACCCAGGACCACGTGCCCCCATTTCCTCACGGCATAAGGAGCAGGCGTTCCACTCCCCCTCACACCTGCACCCCGAGGCCCCACCTGTTGAAAGATTTTCAACCAAGCCCATTTATGAAGTACCTTCCCGATGATTTCTGTTAAGCAAAGCAGCCATTAGGCTGCTGATAGCTTCAGGGAGAGCAAACTTCAGGCTCCAAGTAGAGAACCTCACCTTCCTGCTGATCCATGTATTGACAGGGGAAGAGCCTGGACTCCAGAGCCAGGACAGCCCAGGACTGATGCCCAGCTCCCCTCCTCACCGCCTGTAGGGGAACAAGAGCCCCAAGAGCCTTGCTATCTCCATCTATGAAGTAAGAGCCACACTTTCCTGCTGAGGAGGCCCACTGAGACACTGTGTGCTTAGGGCAGGATACATGAGGGTAGCTGGTACCAAGCATTCCTGCCTCA